ATTCTTTTGAAAAAAAATATATCTGTTTTGAGAAATCCATGCACAATTTTCTTTGTTGACTCTACTGTCTGACTTTGACCTATACGCGAATATACGACGTAAACATAATCGTCATATATAAATATTAATACAAAACCGATGGATTTTACTTTATACCAGTTTTAGTTAGTTAATGTATACAGTTATAATACAGCCAATTACACGATGTTTAAATTAAAATAACTTGAACAAAGATGAAGTTTTCATGCTGATATTTTACTGTTGTTTGTGTACATAAAATAATGGTTTGTGTAAAAACATTTTTTTTTAATAAAAAAACGTGATAATTCGAGAAATAATTTTTACATAATTCGATTCATCGTACAAAATGCTATAAAAATATATATTCTCAAATTTTTATTTGAACAATTACTAGTACGCGGCTTTCAACTAAATCACCCCCATGAACCCTCAAATAAAGATAAAAAAAATTCAGATGATTATAAAATTATCCTAAATCATTTTAAATCGTAATCTAAATTATCTTCGAATTTGTCGAAATTCGAAGGATTCAATACTTTCCGAGCAGATAATATATTTAGACGATTTTCTCGATAATGACGTGAAAGGCGAAAAATGTTCCGAAAAGTTGCTCCTCAAGAAGCATCGACTTTCCTCAGCTGGCCACCGGTTGCGCCTGATGAAAAGAGGCGGCACCGAACGCAATTTCCGTGAGATCTTCGTGGCAGTTCGAGCAGTTCAATGGAACGTTAAAAGACGAGCTAGAGCTAGAGGATATCAGAGGAGCGAGATCAGACTTCGTGATTTTCTCGGTGACACGCGATGAACAGCTCTTTGTACGTGAAATTTGATTTCTCGTTGAAACAGCGTTCGAGCTTTAGATATTGTGTTTTAGTTCTTTAATTAATTTCCATTTGCTTGTTTAAAACTGAGATACATAAGAATACTTGTGTTATCCAAATGTTGTAACACCAAAATTATTTATACAGTGGCGCCATAGAATACTAGAACAGCTTTTGAAACAAAGAAATATTCTTAAAATTGGACCGAACATCCTGAACTTTTCTAAGTTTATCATACTTCAAATTTCTATTAAAAATCTATTAGAATTTAAATATCTACTCTCTCTCTCTCTCTCTCTCTCTCTCTCTCTCTCTCTCTCTCTCTCTCTCTCTCTCTCTCTCTCTCTCTT